GCGATGCAACGCAACGTGTAAAAAGACAGTATAAGTCATTATAATCAGTAATTATGTATGCTGGATGCAACAAATGCCTCGTTAATAATGGGTTTTAATGTTTTTGTCTCGTCGCACCTGGACACGGCATCACAGTATGGTAAGGGGCGTAACATTTCCATCACACGCTTGAGGTATTCGGCCAATCACAGCACACCTCGCTTTTCAGACCGATGAGCTTAGTAAAAATCGACGCGTTTCAGAAAGGCGGGGCATAGAGGAGAAACAATAATGTACAGTATGTGGAAAATAATGTGTTTTTTGAACCTTAAACCGCATAAACGCATTTCATTACATCAAATGCACAAAATAATGTTCTTTTTAGCAACATCATATGACCCCTTTAAAGAAACTAATACTTTTATTCACAATAGATGCATTAAATTGATCAAAGTGACAGTAAAGATATTTGTAATGTTACAAAAGATGAACACATTAAGTAGCACAAATTTTTTCAACATCTATGCTAATATTAAATGTTTCTTGAGCAGCAAATCAGAATGATATTTGAAGGATCACGTGACACTGAAGTATGCATGAGTATATTAAAATATTTACTGGAAATATTGACAGGCTTTCATCTAAATATGAAAGTTTTTATGTAATGATGTTGACTGCAGCATTTTGCTCTGCATGAGTAGAACACAGAAACAACACTCTTTAGCCAATCATCTCTCTCCTGATCTTCTCAGAGGGAGCACGATTTCATCTTTGGTGGTCTGTTTTGCTAATCCAGGCTTGATGTAATGGTTTTGTACTCTCTGAGCTGGATTGGAGATTTGGAGGCCTGATGTCACCTCTCACACATCCTGCCCGCTAATCCGCTTTGGGTCCGAAAGAGCAATTTCAGCCCGGGATCGCCAGCATCAGTCTAATCCGGTGTTTCTCATCAGAAGAGGTCATTCCCTGATCTCTCTCTCTCACTCTCTGCATTTTCTTCCACATCACATTCCTTCAGCATCTGTTGACATTACCCAGTGTGACCCCCCTTCACATCTGCGAAGAGAAACATTTGGATATTACTTGGTGATATTAAAAGCAAAATGGGTCTGTAAAGCACATCATTAGGTGCACTGAAATCCATAACATATCTGAAATCATGTGGTTTGTTGATGTGGACAATAAAATAGCGAATAAGTTGCCATTTTAATCCAATAAGTTGCGCTAAAAGAGACACCCAAGCCATATCTAGAGACCAGAATATCATAGAGAATTCAAGGAATTGCTCTTTTGGAAAGTAAGAAACTACATAAACCGCACTAGTAATCCACTCACAACATTTTAGCGACGACATAGCAATGTGCTAGAAACACCTCAGAAAACTTATAGGAACCATATTGCAACGTTAGAAAACCCACTCAGCAGAGCTTAGCAGCCGCATAGCAGCGGAATAGAAATGTGGAATTTATTTTGAAATGTTTTTTGACTTGCTTTGTTGGCTTTTGCCTGAAATGCGGTTTGTTTGAAGCTGATTGTAGTCATTTGTTTTTGTGTGTTTGAAAACACAGACTCCAGTTATTTTTCTAATGGGTTGTTCGGGTTTTCAGGCTCTTTGCACCATGCTGGGTGGTGCCGCAGTGCTTTGGCCGGCAGCCATTTTGAGTTTCTGCTTTCATTTTTTCATCATTTTGCCTGTAGGTAAATAAAAAAATTAAGCTATTTTTAGTCATATGCTTCTATTATGACACTCATCCTTTTGTCAATTGATTAATCTGACAATGTGGTACAACACATTTATATTTTAGCTTTCAAACGTTACCCAAATACTTTCCCAAATTTTAAAAACTGTTTAAATGTGTAAATGCTGGAAATACTGGACCCTTTGGATGTAAATTTTGCTTTACAGATACATAATATTTGATTGTTAAAGAATATGTAAAGTGTATGCTTTTAAAATAATTATAACAATATTTTTTAAATAATTTGATATAAAAATTAAATGATTTGAAACACTTAAAAATAATAAAAACAATTATAAATGTAAATATAAAACTGTGTTTAAATTAGTTAAAAATATAAAAATAATATAAATCTATAAATTGTAAATTTAATTTTATATATATATATTTTAAATTGTATAAAATATTATACAGTATATATGTTTTATAAAATAATTGTATGTGGTGATGAGGCCACTGAAAATGTGTTGAAAAAAATCTGGTCCCACTTTATATTGTGGCCCTAATACCTGTGTACTTACATAGTAACTAGATGAAATTTGCATATAAAGATGTACTGAAGTGGGTCAAAAAGCACTCTTAAAGGGTTAGTTCACCCAAAAATGAAAATTGGCTTGTGTTTTACTCACCCTCGAAGCATCCTAGGTGTATATGACTTTCTTCTTTCAGACGAATCCAGTCGGAGTTATATTAAAAATTGTCCTGGCTATTCCAAGCTCTATCATTGCAGTCAGCGGGTGTTGCAGTGCAACAGTCCACAAGTCGTCAAATAAAGCACGTGCATTCATAATAAAACTTGCTTCACACGGCTCCGGGGGGTGAATAAAGGCCTTCTGTAGTGAATCCATGCGTTTTTGTAAGAAAAATATCCATATTTCAAACGTAATAAACACTTTTATATCACTTCCGCCAACTGTCATAGGCGGAAGCGTGTCAGTGAACTACGGCTCTGTGTAGTAAATGCCGCTCCATCTGAAAGCACGTGCTAGAGATTTACTACTAATCACAGAACCGGCTTTACTGACGAGATGAGCATGAAAATGTCATTCGATTTTTTGCACAGCCCCAATATATATATAGATATATACTGTATATATGTGTTTGTAAAATGGCACAGCTTTCTAAATTTATGAATGTACACTCCTAACGTCAGTCAGTCAAGCATTATAATATGATGATATGATAATCAAGTATCATTTAATGATAGAACTTTAGTAATTTGAATTAAAACTTGATAACCATATATGGATGCAAATTAGTCATTTTAACTAAACTTAGGACTGGTGGTGGTGCTTTTTTTGGTCATTCTGTGGTTCTGTAAAAAAATGGGAGAAAACGTACAATAATACTAGTAAGATAATAATACTACGAATTGTACTAATAAGAACAATATAAAACGCAGTAAGGATTAACGAGCTGCTGGATTCATGAATATTAATCAGGTTGTGTGCATTCACTAGAAGTGATTTGCTGAATTCAAATCAGGGACAATAATAGGTGAGCGCCAGCCAATGAGATTGTCGTTTGCACATTAGTTCCGCCCACTACCGGAGAAAGCGGCAGTTCTTAAAAGCTGAAGAATTCCAAAGAAACTACAAAAAAGAAACTACTTTCCTGTTATTTTGATATGAAAATACAACAAAAAATATTGATTATA